CGGAAGCCCGCCAAGTAGCGGAGGATATTTGTTTTTGTTTGTTTTGAGAATTTTCTGCCCGCCCAGCAGCGGAAGCCCGCCAAGTAGCGGAGGACACCAGGCGCGAAGATATTGGTTTTTGTTTGTTTGGAGAATTTTCTTGCTTGTTTTGGAGAGATGGTAAAGAGGAATTTGGTTTAATGGTTTGTTTTGTTTTGAAGTAAGCAGGACTGCTGACAAGGCGTGCCTTCGTGGTACGGTCGACTAGGGGTCAATTTGGTTTTTCTCGGAGCATGACGATGCATACGAGTAGGGGGGCTATTAGATATATTGGGGGTACTCGTAGCATAGTATGACGGTTGAGATGTTCGGTACGTACGTACGAAAGTAACAGTGATGAGATGCGGAGGGATAGGAACTTTCTACATATATTCCTTGGTTGCGAGAGGTATTTGGTGGAGATTCAGAGAGATTCGTTGAGTGACAAAGAGTGAAGGCGTGCCCAGATACCGTGAAGGTTTGACGAGCACTGGCACGCCCCCGATGAATACAATACTTTCCAATACTTTCCAATCCTTTTCGTTACGTTTTCTACATGTTTCTACCCTTCCACGCCCCGCCATGAGCCACCCGCTTTGAGCTCCAAGCACAAAGAACCGAGCCACCCGAATTATCGATCACCCCCCCCCTCCCTCTCGTCCTGAAACCGAACACTTGTATTGTGAAGGCTCGACATGGCGTTGATCGGAGACGTCCCACCGCCGGCGGCATCAGCAGCAGCATTGGCCAGTGAGGTACAGGACTTTGAGGCTTCCTCGAAAGACAAACAAGATGCCGAGGAGGTATACCTGTGTTTGTGTTGTTTGAAGATTGGCTTCGAATAGAATAGTTCGTTTTTTTTTGCTGCCGAAAGGGGTTCGTTCCTGAAGTCACACCCTACCCCCTTAGCACATGGCATTGTTTCCTACCGGAAAGTTTTATCCGGGTTATTTTCAGCGAGATATGTCTGTATATTTTTGCCGAATGAATGAATTGAATGTGATATATCGGTGCTACACTGCTAAGCTATATTGTGCGTTGAACACTGGCGAATAATTTTCACGGGCGTGGGGGGGGGGGGGAAGTAGTCGTGTTGCTATTGTTACGTTAGTTGTTGTGGGGTGCGGCCACCTGGTGTCCTTACTTGGGTTTTCCCACTTAGACGTTTCATAGTTTTGCTGTTCAAGTCCGTCCTCTATATTCCTCCGCCCGTCATAGGAACGAATATGAAATCCACCTTCCCGTGGTATTTTACTTGTTATTTACTCTGCTGCTTTTTGGATTCTGCCCGTCCATCTTTTCTCTTAAGTTTAGGAAGCACTTGTCTCGTCAATTTCTTCTGAATATGTCAAGTATGTTACCGTGTTTGGGTTCGTTGTGCGGAGTCTGAGCGCGAAGTGGATGGTCTTGGTTTTGGTTTTTTTTGGATAGTTAGTTTGCTTGATGTCCTTTTGGCGCGAAGAATGCTACATAGATCAGAGCTCCACGGTTTTAACTGGTGTTGTGGAGATGTGTTCCGAACAATAAAGTATGGTTCGAAATTGCTACATTTTTTTTTTCACTTCAAATCAGTTCTCACAGCACTTTTTGTGCCGTTTACTCCACGGGTGGCTACGCAGGAGGTTAAATTATAGCCATGCTCCAGAGAAAGTATCACGAGTGGGGGGATAATAGCGGGGCAGCGCAAGAGGAACGTAATTTGAGAAGACCGAGTGTTTACCATGCATGACCCCGTGGCATATGCGGACTAACGAAGGTCGCACAAGTTCCTCCCCTCCTCGGGACAGATCTTCAATACATATACTTCTATATATATACCTTCCACGACGATACGATGCGAATATCAGAGGACAGATAGCAATCTCTTATTGTAAGGCTCTCGACCAAATGATGAATCGAACGCCGCCATTTCTTCTGCACCTTCACTGTGTTTCTGCTTTTTAGTGCTCGAGCGTCCGAAATCGGTCCATGTGGGGTGTAAAATGTTATGCGATCAACTGGTTCGTGGACTAGGTTGTGAAACACTAGGTGGCCAGCCTGCGCGCCCGCCGCAAGTTACCCCCGTGTTCGTAATGCGCTTCCTGGATAACGGGCAGATACCTGCGGGGGATATGGTCATGAAATATATTCTGTGTTCCTGTGGGAATCACTCTTACCCTACAGGCCCTTCGGCCACTTCGGTAGAGGAAGAGTACGCTGAACGTGACTACATGTATCCCAGTCCACAGTAGAGGACATTTGCCCGATTTGCGTAGTTATGTAGTAAGTACGAAAATACTCAACCAAGGCAAACATCATTTCAACTATCTATGCTTAGCTAAACTACAGGGTGGATGCGAATTTGATGTTGTGGAACAGAGCACAATATTTTTTGTGCCGGAGAAGAGTGAGTCTTTTGCACGCGTGCAGCTTCTGTGCGGACAGTCCCAGACCTGGGTGCAGATGCAAGGCTATATCCGCACCTGAGCCGTGTCTTTTCCAGCCACCCAATCAAATGCCCCATCGATTCTCGAAGGGTCCTTTGATACGGCTCATAGACAACAACTGGCAGAATTTCCCCGACACTATCGGAAGCACACGCGAAGAACTCGGTCAAACAACTGCGGCTGACTGAGTGGTTCAGCACGCAACCTCGTGACATTCTGACGTTTTGCGGGTGTTCGAATCTCGGTGCCGTCACTCACTCACGCCGACTTAGATATTTTGTCACTCTCTCAGTAAGCCCAAACAAACAAGAGGGACGGCGGCAGTGGCAGTGTGTGAAAAAACAACAAATGACTTCAAGATCGACGAGTGAAATGAACGGCTGTGAATCATTCTCGCGGAAAAGATCAAGGGAAGCACCGACCGCAGCGGGAAGGCGGAGTAATTAACTCCTCCTCCTGTGGGACCTTGCTCCTGCCCGTTTGATCACGCTTGGTGCGTTCAGAATTGTATCGAAAAGGGGTAAGAACAGAGCCGACGTCCAAATGAAATCGGATGTCCAATAGCATTATATCACAACTCTATATATCTTATCTACCACACTCCATCGGCATGTGTGTGTGATTTGCGTCCTATTTATGATGGCGACGGTCCCCCCATTTTTCATGGTGCGACGTGAAAGTAGAGCACTACACTCTTCAGTGTTTTTTTGTACAACTACAACAACCCAGGTTCACACAGAAGGAGAGTTTTTTTCATATTTATTATTTTTTTCGTGCCGCACCTTCCTCCTGCGGTGCGTGCTGAATTTTATTCTTATCGCGAGAAGGGTCCAGCGTTCCCTTTCCCTCGTCAACGGTGCTAATGTAACGTCGTAGTTTGGCGCTCAAGCAATTGTACTCACCGGAGCTTTTCCAGCTATTTTTCGTTTTCACCCGCCAAAAAGTGAAGTAAATTTTACACCCCATGGGGAGTCGAACACACGACCTCACTCTGCGACTAGCTGTTTCGAGGTTAACACTAGACCACCGGGTCGATCGGCATACGTAGACGATACAACAAGGTCGACAGACCTCCAAACTGCACTGCTGCTGATTGTAACCGCGAAGTCACCAACAAAGTGAGAGGGCCCTTTGAAAGTGAGAGAAAGCCGACGGACGGAGTCTCGAAAAGCTTCTGAATGCGTATCTGTCGGTCGCTCTGTAGCCTGGTGGTTTGGATCGCAACCTCGGATAATCCGCGCAGCGGCTCTACTCATGTCGGGAATGAATTCAGACCAATCAATGTGAATCGAGGGTTTTGGCGCACGCCACGCCAGGTGGTAGAAATCGGTGTTCGTTAGGCTAAGCAGGAGGGGAGACGGATGCTGAGATTTTGTCTGTCTCGTGATCAACTGACTGATCTCATGTGCCCCAGAGGATATTTGGTCTGTGGCGGGCCGCATATAACACAAACTATTTTCGACGAAAAGACACAGGAGGATCGAGTGCCGTACGTGTAAAATGCGTACGTTGAAGCGTCGGTCTGATCATGAGGAAGCAGCACTGAAGAAACCAAGAAAAAAGGGAAAATGAAAGCTCGAACTCCGCGGAGAGTCCCACACTAAACCCAGTAAAAATAATGGACGAGCTTCGCCCGACCCAAAAAAGCCACGGTGACTTCTTACGATCGGACCGATACCGCAAGAACAGGCCTTTGGGGACGCACAAAAAAAAAAAAAGTCACATTGAAAACAGGTTCACCGACAACGACAACGACGGCAACACCGCCAGCTCCCACAACCCTGTCTGCAGACCTTACGTCTTCGATGGGCGACGGGCGACACGACAAACCGCCCACTCTCGACGGAATGCGGTCTTCGACAACAGCGTCCCAACCCAATCAAAGTCCTGAAGCTGTTGTGGTCTAAACAGACATGAAACACACAAACGACCACATGCACACAGGACACGCACACGCCCTGTGCCGGAAGAGCCTGCTGACTAGAAAGCGTGTTCGTGTATTCTTACATGCCACTGCCAAAAAACAAGGTCGACGTCCGTTCATTATTGAGCCAAATAAAACAGCGTGGTCGACACAAGAGCATCGAAACACGCACACCAAGCACACACACACATTTCTCAGGCGGTCGATGCCAATCCGAGACAGCATACACACAGACATCGACCGCGACGAGTTTACACCTCATCACTCACCGCCCCCGAAATGAACGGCAAGACCGCTAGGACCCATGACCAGACAAGACGGGAGCTTCGCGCTCTCCGAACTGCTCCGGCGACCATGAACCAAAAAAAACGCCTACTCGCTCCCCCCCCCTGGGTCTCGGTTGCCCGTCGAGAAGCAACGCAAACGCGTGTCAGGGGCGCAACAAAAAAAAAGGAAGCCGACAGAAACAAGACCCGAACACCAGAGGTGCTGCCACATCTCGGTAAAAGACTACTACAAAACGAGTACAGACACGACATCGAGCAACACGCGGAACGAGCACAGACCGCACCGACGCAGCAATCACATCGTCTCTGCGCAACAGGTGCCGCCACATCCTTGCCCTTGCGATACCTCCAGAGATCTATCGAAACGCACAGCAGCGGATCCCACTCGAACTTGGCTCTCCTGCACCCCACCCCCCCCGGCGTTGTGCTCATCTCGCGTTGTGGTAGGTTAGGGCCCACGGCACCACCCACCTAGGTACATTTTGCGACGTTTACCTGAGCAGGAACCTCGCAATGCCCCCGCCCCCCCCCCTCCTCCCCGTCGCGTGCGCGCCTACGACTGGCCGAGGAGCTACAGAAGATGCTCGCCGCGAAACCCTGACCACCCGGCCACGACACACAAAACAAATATGTTTCTATAGCCCAAGTTGGCTCCAGTGGCTCCCTTTATTACATGGTCCTCTCGTTCACATCGCTTTATTTAGTTCCCGCCCGGCCTCAGTGAAGGGGGGACGCAGAATCGCAATGATGCGGGTGCGGTAATGACATGAAAGCATCCAATACAACAGAGGTTGTCGCTCGGCTTCACGGAATGCTGCCAATGCTCTGGAGGATGGCGAAAAACACAGCGGGTCTGGCCCACACGCTTAGCTACGCCTAGCCGAGAGCCAACGCTACGCGCTCGCGACGGCTGCAGCGTTCGCGACCATGTCAATAGAGCTGCTTCTGCTGCTTCCATTGTCTTCGACGCCATCCGTAGCCGACACCTGCCGCTCATGTCCCGCCTGCTGTGAACGCTCCGCCTCCTTCTCCAGCCTACGTTGCTCGTTGACCCATTTGTTCTGGAAGAGCGAGCGTGCAGCAAGCGTCAAGAGCCAAGGTGATAAGACGATGCGCGTGGACCGGAAGCTTAGGCTAGCGACAACTAGACTTGAACGATTGATGAGACGATGTGCGGGGGCCGAGAAGCTTAGGCTAGCGACAACTTTTATAGATCTTTTGTCTTTTGTCGAAAAGCGAGGCAAACCAGAACGAACCACTACTCCCCCTCCTGGTGCCACGAAATGACTCGAGACGCACGCAACGCCGCACCAACAGCAACCAGAGACCAACAACCAGCGGCAACATAAAAACCACAGCCACGCCATGGTACACGCCCGCTCCGTCAAGCGTACATCGAAAACGGTGAACGAGCCATACACTCTCCTTCCTCCCTCCCTTCAACAGCCTCAACAAACTACCGATACTGCAGCGATCGAGATGTCCAGCCCCACTTAGAGCAACCGTTACACAATTGACAAGAAGACAAAAAAAAAAGGATGGCGACGTCACATCACCGATCAAAATAATCAGACTAAAAGCAAGGGCGATCGTTATACAAAATGACAAACACACGAAAAAAAAAAAACGGTGACGTCACATCCCACCACCACCTGCCATGCTGCTGAGTCGGCCCCCGCCGCTAGGCGGAACAAATCCGACGTCAGCCCAACCGAGAGCGATGGGATGTTGTGGATGTTGTGTTTACATCAAAAACCGTTCCGATACCTCTGTACATCGAACGGTAACTCTCTGTCCACACCGATGGTGTGAAAAATGACAAACAAACACACACAAAAACAACACGATGGTGACGTCACATCCATCCACCAATCACCTGCCACGCCGCCGAGTCGGCCCCCGCCACTAGGCGGAACAAATCCCCAGTCGGTCCTGAGCCAGCGGCCGCGTGCGCGACGGTGAAGAACCCGTCCGCCACCGGCTTCTGTCGTTTTCTCTCCCCGACGTTCATCACCGCTGCGTCGGCTAATCGCTCGGTTGCCGCAGCCCAGGAGAGCTTGTGTCTGGGGGACGGGGGGGGATGGTTGGCCTAGCGTCAGAGCGGAACATGCTCCAAGAATACGACTACTAGTTTAGAATAACGCTGTATCCCATGAGAGCTTGAGTCTGGCGTAGCACGGGGGGGGGGGGCGATAGTATGGTTGGTCTAGCACCAGAGCGAACCACGTTTAAATAATTAATGTTAAAATAGTTCTAGTGTATGACTGACCGCGGGTTCCTTCTGGTTTCGTTCCTCTCTCTCTCTCTCTCTCTCTCTCTCTCTCTCTCTCTCTCTCTCTCTCTCTCTCTCTCTCTCTCTTTCTCTCTCTGCCTCTCCCTCCCCCCCCTCTCCTCTCTTCCTAACAACAACAACAACAACAACAGCAGCAAAAACAAAGACAAACTCACCTGAGGGCGGGCGTGAGGTCCTCAGGATCGTGCCGGAGGGCCCAGCTGACGCAGGCGGCGAAGTCCTCCTCGGAGTCAAACGGAAGGCAGTTGGGGAACTGGAAGAAGAACTCGTTCGAGCTGTGCCGCGCGCAGACGACCCACTTGCCCATGGCCAGGGCCTCTGCCACCGTTGTGCACAGGACCTCACTAACCTGTTGGTTGTTGGCGTGCCAATCAATCACGTGCAATATGTTTTTAAAATGCCGGACGCACAAGCGCCTCGAAATGAAGCGTTCCCAGTGCGACTTTCTCCTGGTTCGACTCGAACATGAGCAGGAATGCGGTTGCTCGAATCGGCACATCGCAAAAACCGCCCATGAGCGCAGCCTGCAGGGCGAAACTGCAACTGGGAAAACATGGACATCCGACAACGACAACTACAACAACAACAACAACAACAACAATGACAACAGTAACAACAACAACGTCAATAACAACCACCACCATCACCACCAACCCCAACCCACCGAGGGGTTGATGAAGACGCTGTAGTCCCCCAATTCCGAGTGGTCGGTCGCCGGGAAAAAAGTGATGTCACACCCCTTCTCGCACGACTTAGCCTCGATCGCCTCCCGGTCCGGACCGCTCCCGTACACGTCCATGTGAAACGCCCGTCCCAGGCGCTTGTTGTTGTACTCCAGGAGGTTGATCAGCCGGTCGTAGCCCTTGGCCCACAGGCTCTTCCCGATGAAGTAGGCACCTCCGGCTCGCGGCTGACGGGGGAGGGGGACGGGGGGGAGGAGAAAAATGATGAAAAAGCATGCCGTAGTCGTTAGATCATTGACCAGGGCGGGGGGGGGTGTACTCATAGTCGTGCATGCCGTAGTAGACTATTGACCTCGCATCGTTACAAAGCCGGGACGGAGCACGCCGGGTTCTCACCGGGCTAGGCTCTCACATCACCAAGCGCGAAGCGCCGTGAGGTATTCGACGAGTCGCATGAAGGGTGCGCTGCATCCTGCTAAGGGTGTTCGGCATCTTGTGCTTACTTCCTTGCGTACGGATGACAGCTGCGTATGACTTAATTTATTTTCTGGTGCTTTCACTTCCAGAGGCAGGGGTTGTAAGCGCTGTGTAACTGCCTCGAGGGTGCTTGACCAATTGAACACAACGTAGTGCGATTACCCCCTTTGCGCGGAGTGAGGGTTCTCGACCCCGCACAACATTATCTACTCGACCTCCATTCATGGTTACCGCAAAAAAAAGGCAAAAAAAAGCGGTAACCTGGTTGCCGAGCTCACGAAGTGATCGGTTTGTTTTACAACATCGCTGCCAAGCGACGAAAACCTAACCCCGATGGCAAACACCCGGGGAGCGGGGGGGGGCGTACTCATGCCTTAGCGGTTAGATCGTTGACCACGCGTCCTCGAGAGAACGGAGACTTGCTCCCATAGGTACGATGGTCAATCGTTGCTGCTGGGGGGGGGAGTGGTGCACTAATGTAAACGCATGACGTACAATAATGGGCCTCGCATCCCTACAAAATACCGGGCATGCCGGGTTTTCGCCGGCCCAGGCTATGGTCGTGCGTTTTACAAGGATGACCCAGAAGATGGTCATCACCCTTGCGTTAGCCTTGCGCAACCAGAAATACCGCAGGCTGGTTGGGCGTCCCGGTTAACCAACCGTTTCACATTCGGCAGGGGGGATAGGTTTTCCGGCGGGTTCCGTACCGCCAAGACTGATGTGAGGTCGTTTCTTCGCTTTTTTTGGCCAGTCAGCGCGGCCCAATGCTGCAAACAGTGGTACGTATTGCAGAGGGTCATACGCACGACGCCACCCACGCAGGGGCGTACAACCAAGACATAACTTCATGCCAACCCATGAAACACATACAAACACAGAGACCCACCTTTTTTCTTGTTCAGCCGGTTAGCGCGGTCGACGCTAACAAAGAAAACACGCACACACACACACACACTTTTTCTTGTTCAGCCGGTTGGCGCGGTCGATGCCAACAAAGACAAACACGCACACACACACACACACACTTAAGCGTGATGGGTGCTAATTAAGGACACACACACCTTATGGGCGTACTCCTGGCCCACGTCCAGGAACTTCTGGCGTACGCCGTGTACGTTGCATACCGTCTCCTTCTCGGGGGCGAGGCTCTGGATAACGCCGCTAAGCTTGATGATCTTGTGGCAGTACGCGCGTGCCATGATGATGTTCATGTACCTGGTTCAACGTCAACACGGTTCCTCCGCTAAATCATACCGTACCAGGTATCAAGGTACGAACTCACGACGGCATGCATGCATACCTGCCGTAGCATGAACGCTAATACGGGGCCCCAGTTAAACCATTCAACGCATACATACACACGCCGCAACATGAACGTCAACACGGGTCCGCAGTGAAACCATACCAAGAACACACGCCCACCGAAGCACGAACGCCACCACGGGGCCCCAGCTAAATCATACCAAGGTACACACCCACCGCAGCATGAACGCCAACACGGGTCCCCAGTTAAACCATACCACCAAGGTACACCCACGGCAGCATGAACATTTAACACGGGTCCGCAGCCAAAACCATACCAAGATACACACCCACCGCAGCATGAACGTCAACACGGGGCCCCAGACGGAGTACCCCGAGGAGTACGCCAGGTAGTTCGTGTGCACGACTCCGACGACGTGCTTGAACGTCCTCCGCCACGACCGACCCGGTGCACGGTACCTGGATCACGAAAAAATGACCCCACGGGGTACATTCGGCGGGGAAAACAAAAGAAAGGTAAAGAAAGCGAAGACGACGTGGAGCATCGCCCCTGGTCCTCGCAGGATGCACATGTCGACACCCGATCTATACAATAGGCATACAAAAAACTAGCGCCACATGTTCTACACTCTACGAATACGTTGCAGATGACACAAGATATCGCAGCCCCTTAGACCGATTGTCAAAGTACCTATTTTTGCTGCTGCAGAAAGAGCGGCGGCACCAAAAAAAAGCGGGAGGTGTTGTAGGGGTCTCGTTGAGACATTTCCGAGAAACGTGTCGTTTGATTCTTGCATCCTCTTCGTCGGGGAGAAATCGAGATTTTTAACATCGGTCCAAAATCGAGCTTTGCGCATCGGTCCAGGGGGTGTGGTGTCTTGTGTCACCGACGGCACACTCGACGAGAACGAAATGGCGAGGGAAGCAAGGATAGTGACTCGACAAACAATGACGTGGTCCACGGAATACGGGAACGCGGAGAAGAATGGCAAGTATACCGAGCTTTGAAATCGGTCCAGCGGGTGTGGTGTCTTGTGTCACCGCCGGTACACTCCACGAGAAGAAAATGGCGAAGAAAGCACGGACAAGTGACTCGAGAAACAACGACGTGGTCCACGAAGACGGGAACGCGGAGGAGACTTGCTTACCAGTTGAGGTGTTCCGGCTCCTCTAGAATGCAGATGTCGGCTTCCTCTGGCGGTATCATGAGTGTCAGGTCTCCCATGGGGAAGATGCTGCCGTAGTCTTTGTGATATCGCCCGGGATAGAACACCTGTTTTCGCCGTCAAATTTCATGCAAGAAAAGGTGGCAAACATTTTACACACGCATACACACAAAGTGTTTTTGTGTTTTCAACCGCACTGAGACTGACGTCTTTTCATTGGTCAGCCGGTTAGCGCGGTCGATGCTAATAATCATAAAAAAAAACGCACGCACACACACAGAGAATGGAATTCCATTTCATCGTCAATCTTCATGGAAAGAACAGGCGGTCCGCATGTTAAACACACGCACACAACATAACACCTTTTATCGTGAAATTTTCATTGTACAAGACAAGGTGGCACACCATTAACACCCAAACAGAACGGAATTCCAATTTATCGCCAATTTTCATGCAAGAAAGGTGGCCCACAATGGAATTCCTTTTTATCGTGAAATTTAATCATACAACAAGAGGGGGTCCACATTCCACGCACACGCAGAATGGAATTCCTACCTATCGTCGATTTTCATGCAAGAAAGCTGGTCAACATTTCACACACGCGCGGAATCGAATTCCATTTTATCGTCGACTTTCATGCAAGAAAAGGTGGTCCACATTTCACACACGCGTGGAACGGAATTCCGTTTTGTCGTCGATTGTCATACAGACACGAGAGTGAGTGAGTGAGAGAGAGAGAGAGAGAGAGAGAGAGAGAGAGACAGAGACAGAGACAGAGACACACACAGAGAGAGAGAGAGAGAGAGAGAGAGAGAGAGAGAGAGAGAGAGAGAGAGAGAGGCGGTTATGGTGTGAACAGGATGTAAAAAAAAAACACAGCAAAATATTGGCGTGTTCCACGCCCATCCACACGGAACAAAACTCTATCCATTGCCATATAGAGCAGACTAGAGACAGCCCACCATCCTCTACGCCGACGTTCTTCCACCACTCGTTTCCTCTTGTTACCCCTCACCAGCCGCAAACGCTCCGATTCCCGTGCCAATCCAGCATCCTCTAGCCAGTTCCGCACCCAAACCTCTTGCTCCTCCGGGGTATCGAAGGTCACCCCCCGTGGGAACACCTGGGGATTGATTTCATTGTTGCGCTGTTGTGACACGCCCGCTGCCATCGTTCTGTTCTTTTGATTCGGCACGAGGGGGGGG